GACCAAGGTAAAGAATTCTTTAACGCACAATTTTCTGATCTAATGAAGAAAAATAAGATTATCCATTATCATACGTACAGTGTAAAAAAGGCGGCTATAGTTGAACGTGTAATTAGGACTATAAAATCAAAATTATATCGTTCATTTACTTTAACTGCTTCATACAATTGGACTAATAAATTAGAAAATATTAATGCAGAATATAACAAGACAAGACATCGCATAACTGGAAAAAAACCTATAGACATCAATAAACAAAACGCTCATGAAATTAAATTATATGGTATTAATCCAAAAGCTGAAACTCAACATAAATTCAAGGAAGGAGATATAGTTCGTGTCAGTAAGTTTAAACATATATTTGAACCTGGTTATAAACCTTCATGGAGTACTGAATTATTTAAAATCTCTAAAGTAAACGCTACTAATCCTACAACTTATGTTTTGAGAGATTTTCAAGATCGACCTATTAAGGGATCTTTTTATGAGCCAGAATTACAAAAAACGAAAAACATTGATGTCTTTCTCATTGAAAAAGTACTGCTACGCAAAGGAAAAAAATTATTTGTCAAATGGTTGGGACTACCTAAAAACCAACAGACGAGCTGGATTTCAACAGAAGATTTGCGTTAGTATCTATTAAGATGGCACAAAGTCCAGACGCTATCTTGCAACGAGCTATTCATTTCGAAGAGACAATCCGACAAATACGCGAAATAGTAAAAATCGAATTATTAAAACTTCAACCTCTTCAGCTGCTAGACGTCTTTCCGATGTTACCTAATTTTTATGCAAAGGATAGAGACATCAAGGATTCTTTGCCATGTGTAGAACATTATAATTTTTGCCATGAAGATGTAAAAGATGGACCACCTTCAACGAAAAACCAATGCCCAGAGTGCTTAATCCAACGACAAAGCTGAAGAAACGAATTACTGCTCTATTCATATTTAAGTCAATATATGTAACTATGAAAACATGACTTCCTACCTATAATTTGTATAGACCCTTTTAAAAATAAAATCGCAATAAAAACCATTATTATTATTATTAAATATTCAATCTATTTTAAAATAGTATTTAGTTCCCATACGCTGTGCATGCGAAATTTTAATGTGCCAACTGCACCGTGTGTGATAAGCTGCAGGAAAAGGCCGACTCGGCGGCCCCTCCTCCACTCGAGGTCATACAAACACACACGCATAAATACGATTGACAATACGCTCCATTCAGGGTCCCTGCGATAGTCGAGATGCCGAGGTGACGGTTAGCACGAGATCGGACGACGTTCGATTCCCGCATAAAGACGAGGAAAAAAAACTTTTTTTCATAAATTTAAAAATTGAGCGCCGCGCGATACAGCGGTGGCGCCATCTTCTATCCTGCGCGCGCACCACACACACCTCTCCATTACAACAATAAGCGAGAGCGAGACGACAAACAGGGATCCAAAAACGCCACGTGTTAGACAAGGAGAGCGATACCGTTTCAGTAGACCGGAAGTCCATAAGATTTACACGGAGCTTGTGTGACGTCAGCCCCATTTATTAACTACTTTTGCCACTTGTTAAAAAACTCGAGTTATGATTCTCATTTATACCATTTTAAATCAGTGCGTCAAATTATCAACCAATGTTAACAGTCGCTAGAATTAGACGAAGATAACACTAGTATGTAGTGCACATTACAACGAGTAAGAGAAAGACAGAGAACTGAAAATATGTCGACACTATTTTCATACATGTTGTTCCACACTTTGCTGCCCATAACCGTATCTAGGTTACTAAGAAATCTCTGCTTAGAACAAACTAACAAATACACAAACACCGGCGATTGTATGAATGAAGAACCGACTTGCGCTAGCAGAATTTAAGGGTTTACTGCGCAAAATCGTAAATTGCTAGGTTTAAACAAAGACCTACAAAATCATACTCCTGCGTTCCCATGCTGTAAAAGAAGATGGAAAGCAAAACGCATAGTGTACATGTTGGCCAAGAACGTATGTTCGCTTTTGCATAGGATCACCGTATCTAGGTTACTAAGAAATCTCTGATAGCAACTATCACTTTTTTTGCTTCCCGCCACTGGCAAAATACTCCATACGTCTTCTCGTATTTTTCCTTTGATTTCGCAGGGAACAGACTCGTGCAAGTTTCGCGGGCAGCATTCAAAATATCCTGACTTACGGGAATATTCCGTGAATCCATTTCTGATTTAGTTTAAAATTGTTTGACTGTTGTTGTATGCGAAAAACAAGTTCTGCTTGGTTGCTACGTTATTGAAAAGCGTTACCTACTATTATTTTTTATTCGCACTTGACTTTTACATAATATTTAAAATTATTAACGTGTAGCTGGTTCAGTGAGCCGAAACTCTTTTATTGATTATTGCACTCACATGTCACATGATGTCAACTGACCAATCAAACGCGTCAATATTTGTAAATTCAACCAATCAGCATACAATTACGTGATAATTGCACACTGTGCAATTACCACTACCGATAATTATCACTAGCCAGATGTGCCAACTATAAGATAAGCAAGTACCAGTTAATTGCAAAAAAAAACAAGAGGTTACTAACCAAATATTTAATTATGAAACTAAGAATTGTAATTAATTATGGTACAGTTGTAGTAATTTACAGGGGTTTGTGTGCTTGGTGAAGTAGTAACTATATTTTTAGACATTTGTACCAAAGCAGACGGTGCGCAATTTGTGGATTTGTTATTAGACTCTTCCATAGCCGTTGAGTTGGCGCGTAATTTGTCAATCATTTGATAATGATGATCTCCATCGAGCTGAAGGTATGGTTTGATGGAGAAAGTATTGGCATGACCGGTAATCTTTATAAGCTGTTCTTCACCGACTCCCGCTTTTGCAAGTTGCGACACTGCAGTTGACCGTAATGAATGATTACTAATCTTCTTTTTCTTTATGTCGATGCCTATTTCTTCTGCGGCGGTTCTTGTCCATTTCCCCATTTCATTCCTTCCAACGGGTGAATTTTTGAACCATCCTACAGAACTAGGTTCTCTCCATGCAGGATTTGGCGTTAAAAATAAACGATCGGTGGTTATATGTTTACCTCTCTTGCTCAGCATTTTTTTGTAGAGCCTTAAATAATAAAATAATTATTATTTTGTATTTGAAACAGTATTTAATTACCTAACAGGGCAAATTCTAGGATCTGTGGTGTTTGTTGCAAGCCATTTGCTGTCTGTTAATTTATGGCTACCTCCTTGAGCTGTTTTGGAAAAAATACAATTGTATTCTATTCGCCCCGTAGGCAAACCACAATTATCACTTTCTTCCTTAAAATGTTTGATAGTAACGTTAACACCTTCACATCCCCTCCAAGCTAATTCTAATCCAGCCACATAAAAAAACATTTTCTGTAAACCATCTGGCGTGTCTTCGTTATAAATCTTTAGAATCTTGTTGTATTCTTCTAGAGTCAAAATTGAGGAACTAGTTTTGCGTTTTTCCGGTTGTATTTGTAGGTTCCGGCGTTTTGCGTCGCGTGCATTTCTACTACCCTTGAATTCCAGGTCAACAAAAGGATCAAACTTTATACCAAATTTATTGAAATACAGTTCTTGCAACTGCTTTGCCGTTACATTCCACATCGTTTTTATTACTGCTTCTTTGTAGTCATTACCATCGACTTTTTTCATATTGTACCCCCAATCTTTGAGGATGAATGCTAGTTTTTCCGTGGAAGTGTTTCCATCAAAAACATATTTGCGTTCACCGCAAAACTTCTCAAATTGCCTCCAGATTGAATTTCGTGAGTTCTTCGTATTTAGCGGCGTAATGTTTGTAATAGAATCATCAATTTCTTTTGGCGTGTTACGACCAAAACGAAAATTGGACATGGTTTTTTAAACCCACACAAATTTTGCAAAATGGCTGTTCTTATTTACTTGCGTCGCCATAGTATCGCACACCAAACTACTTCGTAAATCATTATAAAATTATTTTTAAAATGTTTGTTCTTGCAATAATCTGTTGAATATATTGCGTGCATCACAATGAAATCGATAATTTTGAACAACAATAATCTCTCATGCTTGTTGCCTAAGAAAAATGCACTCGTGCTAAAGCACTCGTGCGTTTTCAATGCAACAAGCATTCGAGTTATTGTTGCTCAAAATTATCGATAACATTGCGATGCACTTAATATATTATAACTGATAACAATATATATACACAATCTCAGGGGTTATTAACAAGTTATTGCACACAAAATAATCCGTAAACACAAAAGTCGTTACACAGGAAAAATAGTCCTTAAACGCGAAAATAGTCCTTGAGCACGAAAACACGAAAGTAGTCTTTGAACACGAAAACACGAAAGTCTTTGCACACCGACACTAAACAAACGCGATTCGTCGACCCGGTGGGACCCCTCTGGATGCGCCACTGGATGTTTGACTAACGCGATTTGTAGACCCGGTGGGACCCCTCTGGATGCGCCACTGGATGCTTAACTCGTCCAAGAAGCTGTTCACTCCCGACCACCAAGACCCCTAGGATGCAAGGCGATGCTGAGATGAACAAAATGCTATCGAGCTTTAGAATACTCTAGCATGTACTTCTTGTTGATTTCAGATGATTTCAAGAGCTTCTTTATAGGGTAGACGGGCGGAAGTGGTGCGAGGGTGTTAGCCGACAGCGCTGCCTTGGGGTGAATTCAGGTAGTGCCTGAGGGTAAATGGTACTGCCTGGGGGGATGCCTGATGCGTGGGTGCGCTAGAGGGCGTTATGAGTATTGTTCGTGTCGCCGGGATGAAAACAGGCAACTAGCGGGGTGCGCAATGCAGGGATGCGCGAGAGGGCGCAGGAGTTATCATTCGTGTTGTCGGGTGAAAACAGACAGCTGGCTGGGGTGCCAGATGTGTGGGCGTGCCAAAAGGAGCAGTTGAACCGAACTTTGTTACAAACGCAAATAATATCTGGTTATGAAATGCGAAAAAATAGTATACGCGCCTCGATAGAAAAGTCTTTTCACAACTCGTATGGTTTTTAAGTTACTCGTTCGCTTCGCTCACTCGTACTCAAACGAACCATACTCGTTTGGTAAAACTTCACTTTTCTATACTTGGCACGTAATGTACTATTTTTCTTTAGTATATGGAGTATACCCAACCTCAAACACTATCTGAACTTTCTGTGAATTTTTTAGTGTTGCATAGTGTTATTAGTTTGGTTAATCGTCACTGTCGAACAATTAGGAGTGACCGTGTTTTCTTATCAAAGTTATTAAAATATTTACATACGTTATGCCATCCCATGAACTGATTAGTCTAGTGGTCATAAGCAGTGTCATAAGTAACTCATTAAGGTATGTACATATTAACCCCATTCAATATAGTTTCAAATTCAGCAGTTAATTATGGTATTTTCAGAATGTCCTTACGATCCTTACGAGGGCCCCATCTAATTTACTTACATATCTAATCAAGACAAAAGAAAAAGATTTGGTAAATATAATATATACAATGGATAAAATAAGATAAGATATAAATATGTACTTTAACCATTAATAATAATAATAATAGGCTTTTATTTCCATTATACAACAAAGTGTATGGAATACGTCATAAAAAAAAAACAAATTGAACATGCTAAAACTAGCGCAACTAATTAACAAAAATTTTCATTAATGGAATACAGACTCCTGTCTATGAGATGTTTCTTTAGCATATCCTTGAATGCCGTAATATTTGGCAATACCATTACATTTTGCGGTATTTTGTTAAACACTTTCAGTCCGTGAATATAATGAGATTTTGTAAATATTTTTTTACTTATTGGGATGTGATACATGTTTTTATTCCTAGTATTTAGATTATGTTTCTCAGTATTTTTGCGAAATAGGTATATATTTTTAAAAGTAAACACACAGATCTCAGAATTAATTTTTGAAGGGAAGTTCTGTCGAAATAAACTTCGACTAATTTTTTTATTTCGAAAATATTAAATACAAGGTGTCGCACGACATGCATAGTTGGCGCTAAAACATCTTAGCATTCACGTGACAGCTTTAACACACCTATTTTGCAGGAAGCTCAAGATGTGGCGAAAATTAACAACAATAGTATCAAAAAATTTAATCATCAGAAAACGACACTGGATTTTAACTCTATGTGAAGTTGTGGTCCCGATCATGTTATTCGCTTTAGTGGCCATTGCTAGATCAAAAGTTAATGGAATGAATAAAATACATATCGAAAAACCTACATTTCATGACCCCATGGATACATACGACATATACCTACTCACTTAGATGCTGGGGAAATAAACTTTTGGTACGCACCAGGCACGAATTTTACAAGAACAATAATAAATAAAATTCAAAGGAAAATTAAAATACCAGGAGATCGTAATAGATTATCTAGAAACAAAAAAACATTAAATTTACGATGTATTATGTTGTAGGTGTAAAAGAATTTGCCTCTAACAGTGAACTGTTACTAGAGTTTGATGGAAAAAATACTACAACCATGATAACCGCTATTAATTTTAATGTCGATGATCCACATCATTTGAATTATGACCTAACTCTGTATACTAAATATTTTAAATGGAACACTGATAAATTATTTATACCTTAGTTCAGTTCAGAAAAAGAAAGTAAGTGTCGTAAGTTTTCGTAATCTGTAACAAACATAATCCGTTTTCAGGAGTCAATCATTATATATATAAAGGTTTTGCTGCGTTACAAATAGCCATAGATACATCTTTCATGGAATTACATTTACATAATCAAGGAGCGGAACATAAAACGATTGATTTTTCTTTACAAAGATTTCCAGATCCACCTCGCACAATTGATTCCGGAGTCAATAAATTATTTGTCTACTTTTTACCAATTATAACTATTATGAGTTTCATATGTTTATTTCCGTCAGTATTACAACGAGTTGGAGAAGAAAAATTTTCAGGAACTAAAGTATCTATTATATGCTATTCCTTACAAATATTACTGTATAAAATTTTTTAGGAATATATGAAAATGACTGGTTTGAATTCATCTTTAATCTGGTTGGGATGGTTTATACACGCTCTGATGACCACTATATTCACCATTATAATAATTGTGGTAATGATGAAAGTGCCACTGTGGGGAGTCTCATATTCATTGATCGAACATTCAGAGTGCACAGTTTTGTTTACACTCTTGTTCTTGTACTGTATGGCAACTATAACCTTCTGCTTTTTGATTGCCTGTATTATTGACACACGTAAGTATATATATCTGGATAAAAATTCAATATTAGGTATATAATAAACTTCATGGATGGTACGGTTCGTTTGGTAGTTAATTTCGTTTGTGCTTTTCCACATACCTACATTTTGTTGCTAATAATTTTTTGACACTCCTAAACATCAATCAACTAAATATCATATTTTAAGATAAATGAGACCATGCATTTTGGCAAGCGAGCTACTTTTTTTTTTGTTTTCGTAAAGAAGCCGAGAATGAGTGTTAAACTTTTTCGGGATTAGGGGTATTATCATTCGGTGCAATTATTTTTTTTATCCGCATTTGACACTCACGACCGAATCCCCTACTTAACCTAAAAAAGTTTTTATTGTTGATTCACTGGGCTAATAATGTGAAATTTTTGTTGTGTAAAAATTCTCACCACAGTCCAAAACACATCTGTACAATCAATTTTTCATAAAGCTTGTAAAATGCTTTGTATGTGTGTTGACTAGTTATTGCGATTTTGTTAACTTGTTGATATGTTTGTTTGTTTTGTTAGTTTTTTATTGTGTATTGAAAATATTTTTTTAATAATTTATTTCAGCTTCCATTGCAACAATAGTCGGAATGTTATTTTGGATTCTATCATACTTTATCCCACAATCATTTTTGAGTTTCCATGAAGTTTTACAGTGGAAATATAAAATCACTTTTGCTATTTTCCCTAATATGGCACTTTATTATGGTTACTCTTCTATATTCGTATATGAAATGACAGGTTATTATAGTCACAATTCGATGTTCATTCAAATTATGCCAATACAATTTTTAGAGGTTGGCATTCAGTGGAGCAATATTTTCCAGCCAGGAAGTGGAGCCGATAACGATGTAACGATGGGAAACGTTTTCATAATGCTGATATGTGACATAGTGTTATTCATGACGCTCACACTTTACATAGAAAATGTTAAACCAGGACAGTACATAATTTCAAAATCATATTATTTCCCGTTAACCAGCTTTGTGACTGTAAGATTTTTTTTTTTGAGTTTATTACTTTTCTTGTGGCAAATTTATTTTCGTTATTAGAATTATGATGTACAAATTTATTGTAATGAAAAACTCCCTTTCAAGAACGTTTGATAGCCTCAAAAGTGAATGCTTGATGAATATTTCTTTTTTTCTGTCACAATTCTTTGTAGATGCTTATAGGTCATGAAATGTTTTAGTTTGTAAAAAAAAGTATTGGGCAATTGAAGCGAGGAAATCGGGTTCAAAACGCATCGGCAGGGAAATTATTGCAAGAATTTGAAAAGGGATCAACACAAACACCGTGTATTCAAATTATCAATCTTCAGAAGAAATACTCCCATTGTGTGGTCGTGGATGATTTAACAATGGATATTTACAAAAATCGCATCACAGCATTATTAGGTCAAAATGGTGCTGGAAAAACCACCACAATGTCTATTCTAACAGGTAATATAGGTACGCAATTGTTTATAACATGACTTAATTCTGTAAAATCATAAGGAATGATCAACGCAACAAATGGTGTTGTGTTAATTAATGACAAAAACATTCAGACACACTCAGATGACGTTAGGCACCTAATGGGTCTTTGTCCACAACACAATCTACTGTTCCCAGATTTAACTGTTGAAGAACATCTAAGGTTTTTTGCAAAAGTAGGTAGTGGTCCTAAAACTATGGACCCTCTTATATAATTTTTTTTTTGTAGTTGAAAGGTTCCAATGATAGCAATGAAGATGTCATAAAGATGTTACTAGAGCTTGGAATTTACGAACAAGCAAATACAATGGTAACCTCCTTATCTGGTGGAATGAAACGAAAGCTCTGTCTTGGAATGGCTTTAATTGGGAATCCAGAGGTAATGTTTCATTGCTGTAAAAATCTTTTGGGGGTTATATTACATATCTACATTGTATCATATTCAAACTAGTGTTAAATAAATATCTTTTCAAAAATCGTACAAAATATATACATAAGAGTTTTTGGTAGATTTTGATTTTGGATGAACCAACATCTGGAATGGATCCAGAATCTCGTCGAAAAATTTGGAATTTGCTGCTGGAGTACAGAAAAACTAAAACCATCTTGATAACTACACACTTTATGGAAGAAGCTGACGTACTTGGAGACAGGATAGCCATCATGGTAGACGGCCGATTGCAATGTTATGACACACCATCAAACCTGAAGACGAAGTACAGTAAGTAATCTTTGTAGTTTTATTTTTACAAACAACTTACATGTGACAAAATTTTAGATACTGGTTATCGCTTAAATTTATTACTTGATTCAAATGCTGATAAAATTGAAATAGAGAAAACCGTCAAAGCGCATTTTCCAGGTGTTCAGAAGATTCGGCAGAGTGAAGACTCTGTCGTCTATCTATTGCCACTTAAGCAAGGAGAATTTGCAGGAGGGATTAGTGCTTTAGAAAAGAATCAAAATACTTTAAGAATTCAAAGCATCAGTATGGATTTAACAACTATTAATGATGTGTTCTTAAAGTGAGAATCGGTGACTGACGTGCAATCATTTTAAATTACGGTTTTTGTAGGGTTGGTACTAACCAAGATGGCATTGATGGCGAAATTAAAAAAGCAGTAGAAACTTTATCGGAAAATGGTACGTTTTATCCAGTAATATTCGTCTGTACACCTTTGAGCATACTGAGTGATTCAGCTTGGTATTCACACGCATATGTTTGAAACTATTAATACAAATACGAAATATTACACACCATGTTAAACTATTTAATCATTTTTTTGAAGTAACAATCAACTTAATTGTTTGTATTTATGAAATCTGACTGATTTCTTATTCTATTTTAAAACCTTAATATCCTCTCATATGTATTTAAAGAAAAAAGGAAGACAAAAAAATGTTTCTACTAACTACAAACTCCTAAAGTTTTCAAAAAAATTTTGTTCATTTTTCTTATTACATTAACATTATTAGTATTATTGTTACAAACTTGATTTTTACGCATCATGGATATCTACACTAGTAATAAGTCATAAGTCATATTTAGAAATTGTTACAATAAATGTGTATAATTTTCAATAATTCTGCGACACCACTTCAAAATTTTATCAGTATTCTTTTTTGTTCCAGGTTGGCAAGCAAATTTGCATGGTAGACCCCGCACTGTAAATCAACTTTTAGCACTAATAAAAAAACGTTATTACTTCCTTAAGAAAAAGTATCTCAATGTGATTCCATTAGTAAGTATTTTCGTCATTAGTTGTAATGAAAAATTAGTACAGTACCAGCCAGAGTAACTATTTGGGACACTTAAAACCCTACAGAAAACTTGAAAGCGTTGGCGCTTTGTCAGTTTTAAGTGTTCAAGAAACTCTAGTTATAACATTTTAATAGCTAATAATCAATAACATAACAAATTTTAAAGTAAATTAAATAGCACTCTCAACCATGTGAGCTTCGAGAACAGGAAGTGTGGTAAAGTGTCAGCTCTAATAATTTCAAATTCATTAATACCCACTGAAATAGTACTTGCTGGTCACGATGTACATTTTGACATAATCTATTTAGGATTAGATAGATACGGAAGGCGAGATTTACTTTTTCGGTGTCATAAAATTTCGAGAAAATTTTAAAGTAGCCAGCCGCCAGATGGGCCTATTATTTGCTTCCACCGCTTACACTTGAGAAGTAAAAATGAGCTATCAACTTTGTGTTAGTCATAAAAGCATTTTTTTAAACACTATTGTACCTATCGTATGTAACTGACTCTAGTTATCTTTATATACAGGGTGATATTGAAAGGTACGTACAACAAAATGGACAGTTTTTTGCGAAGTCGAAGAAGCCTGAAAAATTTATTTTGTGTTATCAAAATTATAAGGGAAAATCAACCCTTATTCAACTTTCTTAGACGCTACTGAAGGATAAATAGGTAAAATTAATTTATTTTGGTAAATCCTAGCAACTGTAACAATAAAACTTTTGTCAAGATTAAATGTTGCCATAGAAACAAAAGATGATCTTTTTATCAGAGGCATACAACGAATTTGTACATAAATTTTAATAATTTTTAAATTTTTTTAACTTTTAGCACCCTTGCTTCGAGACCAATTGCCGATTTTATTTTGTACGTACCTTTCAATAACACGCTATATAATTAACGGGGGTAATCAAATTTTAATTAATTTTATTTCAGTTTTTTGTTTCTATCTGCATTTTTTTATTGGCCATATGGTTATCAAACTCAGACAGTTATGATGGTGGTGGTCCATCAATTAACTATTCCTTGCAAGTATATGGAAAGCCCAAAGTGTACTATGGTGGTGAAAAGTCTTCAGATCCTGTTATCAATAACTTGAGAGATCACTATAAAAAATTTATAACCGATGAAAACGGAGAAGCCGTATACAGTAAGAATATTTCCTATGGTATGTGTTCTACATTTTTTTATTTGTTTTTGTGTGAAATTTTGTTGGGGTTGCGCACCATAAATACACACCGTATATCGTTTCTGTCGTGACTCATGAAATACCAAAAAACAACTGTCTTCAAAATTTTTTTTTAATTTCCCCATTTCATTAAAGAAAATTTAACAAGCATTTGTGAACGAAAATATGTACCCCGAAGTACGTATTTTGTCTAAATGTGTATTAATTTATATCAAATATTTTCAGAAATTCCAAGCTCCATAATGTTTGAATATATGTTTTACCGTTTCATTTCAAAATTGATCGAAACATCGTGAATGTGGCTATCCGTATAGGTTAATTGAAATTAAATGTCATTTATAACTTCCAAATATACAGGGTTGCTAAAAAGTATGGAAGCAATTGATATCTCGGGAAGTCGGGAACGGTTATATACTTAAACATATTCAAGCTCTATTTTTTTTTAAATAGCACCACTAGTCAAATCGTCAAGTGCAGATATAGAACCTGTCTAAATTTATATTGACATGCATTAACTGCCAATTTAGTAATATCTCCCCAACCAACACGTCAAATTAGATTAAATCAAGATGATTAGGTATTACCTAACTAAAATTAAAATTTATTTTATGATTTCAGACATAATAAAAGAAGGTGTCAAAAACATAGCCTTTTACAAGAAGCACATGATCGCAGCGGTTGAATTCAACCGTACTTCAGATGGAAAGAGAGTCATAGTAAATGCCATGTATTCATCCGAATCACTGCATGGAGTACCAATTTCGATCAATCTTGCAACGAATGCAATTGCTAAGGCATGGCTCGGTAGTAATTTTTCCATTAATACTCATAATACGCCCCTGAAACCACTGTGCTCTCAAGATGCACCTTTTGAATTGTCCGAGAAAAACGTTGCAGGTGTCTGGTTAACCTTGATTCCTATAAGTAAGACGATTCATTTATGTGAATTGATGATTTACACTTTAATTTATAGGCATACTTTTCTTAATGTGTAATTTTATCGTATTTCCTTATACCGAAGTATCAACACATTTCATGCAAATCCAAATTACTGCAGGAATTAGAACATATTTCTACTGGCTAACAAATGTTGTCTTTGACGTAGTATTTTCACTGGTTCCCATGATGATGCTGTTTTCAATTCTGTTATTAGTAAATCAGCTTGTCTATAATTGGCGTGCTTTCAATACAGCAGACATTTATGTAAGTATTAAGTGCCAAATATGGTTTAAATTTTGTAAATACTGATCTCGAAATCTCATCAGAAGTTACCACTGATTTTCTATTTTTTCAGGGGCAATGTTTGTGATATATGAAACTTACATAATAACAGCCTTGCCATTTACCTATCTATTTAGTTTCCGAAAAACTACAACAGGAGCTTTTGCCCTTCTTCTTATGTTGGGTATGTTTTTCGGCCTTGTTCCATCATCAATCATCGCTGCAGTGGAATTTTGGAAAGAAGAGAACTATATTAAAATTGCAAACTGCTTAAAACCGGTGTTAATAGCAACAAACCCCCAATTTGCTCTAAGTTATATAAACTTCAAGTTTGCGAAGAAATATGTTGAAAATTTCAACTGGAAATACATGGACCCAAATAAACGCAATCATATTTGTAACACCAATCATAATCCCTGTTGCAGTGGTATGTATTTCTCATTAAGTATCTATTTATGCAGTTCAGGTTGTATTGGACGCTCACAGAAGAAACCTTTGTCGAAATTTACAAAAAAATTATACTTTACAATATCTAGTACCTATGTATATTGTCCAAATGCTTTTGGTTCATTGTATATAATACTGAGAGTAAACGTTTTATTGTCGACTGAATACTTCTGTGTTTCAGGAGAAACAACGGAATGTCACACGTACCAAAATTATTTTCCAAATGAACAACTGGGAATTGGAAACGATCTTGCGTTAATGTTTGTGGCATTTGGACTATATTTTGCACTCTTAATTTTCATCAATAGTGAACTTTACAAAAAAATTGTGCACGTCTTGAAATATCCACACTCGTTTAAAATATTTAATAACCGACATAAAAATAGTGAAAGCGAAGAAGATTTCATCGAAGATGCATCTCTTCAAGTTAAAAACTTAACTAAAACATTTGGAGCCAAAAACGTGGTGAAAAAGTTAAAATTTCATTTAAAAAATAATAAATGCTTTGGATTACTTGGTGTCAACGGTGCTGGAAAGTCTACCACAATGCGCATGTTAACGAAGAATTTGTTTTTCGATGATGGTAGTATTATTTTAAAATCAAAAAAAGAAGCAAAGCAATTAACAATAAACCAATCACAGGTAATAAAAATCTTAATAAATGAAGCCTATTCGTCACTGTGTATTTTTTAGTACCTACTCTCAAGAAATAGGGTATTGCCCTCAAGAAAATTGTTTGAATTACTATTTAACTGGACGAGAATTAATACGTGTTATGGCATACTTAAGAGGTTATGAGAATAAACACATAGAACAAATAACTGACTGTTTATTGATTTCATTTGGTAAGAAAATTATATTGTAGTCTTTTACATGTATATTTATGTACATTTTTTCTCGTTTAAGGTTTAAATCAATACGCTGGTCACCCATGTTCTGAGTACAGTGGAGGAAATAAAAGAAAACTAAACTCCTGTATGGCATTTTTAGGATCTCCTAAAGTCATTTGCCTCGATGAACCCACAACTGGTGTTGATCCAGCAAGTCGAAGGAAATTTTGGCGTATATTGTCCTTATTCAAGCAGATGAAATTATCATCTTTTTTGCTTTGTTCTCATAGCATGGAAGAATGTGAAAATTTGTGTGATGAGTACGTAGTTAGGTATGATGTATCAAACTTTGAAACGAGAATTTTATTTGTAGAATGGCAATTATGAAAAGTGGTGAAATTAAAGATCAAGGGAATCTTTTGTGTCTGAAAAATAAATACCGAAAAGGATTTAAAATTGCTGTGACACTTAACAGTGAAACAAGCAACTCAGAAGAAATAAAAAAGCACATATCAGAAAAGTTAAACGCTCAACTAAAAGAAGAATACGCTGTAAGGTTTTATATTATTAAAAAAAAATCCATATAAATAGATTTTTTTTATATTTATAGAATACATTAACTTACGAAGTCCTGCATGATAACCAAAGGTTGAGTGGATTGTTTTCGAACTTAGAGAAGATGAAGGAAATCTATAAAGAACAAGTGGTGAATTATGAAGTGAATGCAATTTCATTAGAAGATATATTCTTAACCATTGCTGAAACTGAAACAACCCCTATACTCTAGCTAAAACTAGTGGTAGCTTATAGTAAATAAATACCAATCTATTTTGTATACAGGGTGCCGCATCCAAGTCTGGATATAGGGAATTAACATGCGAATTGGTTTTTATTTTATAATATCTCCCCAGATCACTTTAAAGCTATTATTGAGTGATGGCTTTGTGGAGGTCGAAGAGGGCTATCGGCCAGTATTTTTTTCAAATCGTTGCATCGCGCTCATTCACTGTAAAAAGGTTTTAAAAATCGTATTTTGAAATTCGCGCCCGATCCGAATTGTCGCGAAGTGTTCCGTCGTACTGTCGAAGTTCGGCGATCGCGTATTTTCATTATCCATGCAAAATTCAAATGTCAAAGTGAAATTAGAAATTATTGTCATCAGAAATCAACGAACAACTCAAACTGATTTATTTTATCCAGTGTGATGATTATTGTAGGACAAATTAAACGGAATAAATGCACAAATTGATCCATTCATTCGTCATAGTGCGCGACCCCGTCAAACGAGCCATCTCGAACTACAATCAGACCGTATCCAAAAAGCCCAAGATGAAGACTTCAAGACTTCGAGCAGCTGGTCTTCCTCAAAACCCCATCAAAGCCCATTGGCAGCATTGCGACATTTTCTGGGAGCCCTCAAGCTAGGAATGTACTCGGGCTGCCACACTCAGTAATCACTGAACGACTCAAATTGAATTATTTTATCCAATATGACGATTATTGTAGGTCAATTTAAACGGAATAAATGCACAAACTGCACAAAATATTTTATTAGGTTATGCTATGTTCTACTGCGATTAGATGAAAAAGCGGGGGCCTGCATGTTCTTCAACAGTTAATTTAATTAGTAGGTAATTTGGATAAATTTCACCCTTTTTTTTGGAATCACTAAAGATTGGAAGTCAATTGATTTTACATTCGTTAAGCAGGGATGGATTTTTTGCCTCCAGGAAGCATCTTCATTACAGGAAATTTTTGAGAGAGAAATGTAGAACATTGACTCATCAACATTTTAAAGTATTTTTCTCTATTACGAATGTGTTTTGGGATTCAGAAACTTTTGTATTACTGTTTTATTTGTTAATTGTGTTAACAACAACAAAAATAAAAATAATATTTCGCAAAATAAAGTTACATTTATTTTCAAAGGTGATAAAAATTACATAAAATCAGGTGGGCACGACGTTTTCTAGGGGTCTTAAACAGATGAGATAGAAGAATTTCAAAAAGCATCATGACAAAAAATTGAAGCCTGGGGACTACTTCTCACATATAGAGTTTTACGAAGGAACGCTTGAGAGAATCTAGGCTGATGGAGAGTTTTTGAGGAAAATTTGTTTTACTGACGTTCATTTGGTCTTAAGGGAAGTTATAATCGTCAGAACGATCAAATTTGAGCATTACACAACCCTCACGTGGTCCATGACCTTCGTTATCAATGGCGTGCAATTGTCAGTGTATGACTGGGGCTTCTAGGACATCATGTCATTGCACCTTTTTTCATCGAATCCGGATTGAATGCTCAGAAGTAGGATAATATGCTAGCTCAGCAAATACTTCCTGGGACTCGAAGGGTGCGGCATCTGCAGCAGGTCTTTTACATCCAGGACCAAATCTCCAGCCATACAGTTCGCATAAATGTTGTTTATTTGAACCAGTATTTTTCCGCAATGTTGGAATGGAAAGTTTGCACCGCCCCATTGGCATGTGCAATCGCCGGATATAAACCCCTGAGAATTTTTTCTTTGGAGATTTCTTCACGACCATCTGCATTCAGACAAGCTATACAAACAGAGAAGCGCTGAAACAAGCAATCCAGCAATATTGTCTTCAGATTTCAACTAAAATGCTGATCAACACGCGTAGGAGTTTTGAAGATTGGCTTACTTACTGTACAGCTGCTGAGAGCAGTCTTTTTGAGCAATTCTTGAAAATAGTGCAATACTTCTCCAGATTCGTACAATATTTCATTACTTCATTCATCAACAATTGTTAAGTTTTGTTATTTGTAGTTATCTAAATGGTTCATTAAAAGGTCCTCTTCAAAAGCGCCAGCTATTTTGATGGTAAATCTTATCATCACACAATAAGAAAAGCGGGCCCTCGCTTTTTCATCTAATCGCAGTAGAACATGGCATTTTAATGAGATTTTAGTAATAAAGACTCGATCAGCACCAGCAACATAACCTAATAAAATATTTTGTGCAGTTTGTGCATTTATTTCGTTTAAATTGACCTACAATAATCGTCATATTGGATAAAATAATTCAATTTGAGTCGTTCAGTGATTACTGAGTGAGGCAGCCCGAGTACATTCCTAGCTTGAGGGCTCCCAGAAAATGTCGCAATGCTGCCGATGGGCTTTGATGGGGTTTTGAGGAAGACCAGCTGCTCGAAGTCTTGAAGTCTTCATCTTGGGCTTTTTGGATACGGTCTGATTGTAGTTCGAGATGGCTCGTTTGACGGGGTCGCGCACTATGACGAATGAATGGATCAATTTGTGCATTTATTCCGTTTAATTTGTCCTACAATAATCATCACACTGGATAAAATAATTCAGTTTGACTTGTTCGTTGATTTCTGATGACAATAATTTCTAATTTCACTTTGACATTTGAATTTTGCATGGATAATGAAAATACGCGATCGCCGAACTTCGACAGTACGACGGAACACTTCGCGACAATTCGGATCGGGCGCGAATTTCAAAATACGATTTTTAAAACCTTTTTACAGTGAATGAGCGCGATGCAACGATTTGAAAAAAATACTGGCCGATAGCCCTCTTCGACCTCCACAAAGCCATCACTCAATAATAGCTTTAAAGTGATCTGGGGAGATATTATAAAATAAAAACCAATTCGTATGTTAATTCCCTATATCCAGACTTGGATGCGGCACCCTGTATATTTGAGTACATGTAAACTGCATGCGCGGCCTGAGCTGCGTTTCAGCTGTAAAACATATACAATTTTAATATTTCTGGCTGTCAAAATATTACCTAGATTTTAGAAAAAAATAAAATATTTATATTTCACTACTTTTTGTTGTGTGTACATTCTTTGGTGTTGAAGATAAAAGTACTCTTATTTTAATATATGTATTTTTACACCCATTGTATAATGGTACAATTGTATTTTTTCTTCAGTGCACCACAAGTAAAAAAAAATCGCTGCATAAGTAGGTACATTTTTTAGATTTTCTAAAAATATATTTAAATACATTTTTTCTTGCTCAAACATAAACTTTTCTAATATTAGTTATGTTATTAGTGACTAAATCTGCAACGTAATATTTTTAGAAAAAATAAGGTATTCTGGTCATAATGAAATAGTGCTAAGAATCGCAAGGAAGAGGCAGATGTTGGCCACTTGCGTTAACGCAACTCACTCCTGAAACGTAACTTTGTGGCACCGATTTGTGTATCAATTAAATGTTGCTTGCTAGGGGTGATGAATGAAGACATTTGTGTCGAATTTTCCGTTGCAATTTGTAGCACCGAGTTACGTCACTTCTAGTAAGTAGCGCAGATTATCTCGAAAAATGTTGCTGTTCATTTATTCGACAATTCTAATGAAAGTGATAGTAAAAATGAAGAAAGATTACCGAGAGATGTACTTGTTGCACTCTTCTTACATTAACGGAAACTTCCAACTTAAAAATTTGTTGACGCAAATCGGTGACGCAAAGTGGTGAGTTGGTTTAACGGAAATGGCCAACTTGAAATTGTCGGCCCTCATAAGGAGAGTCGCTGGTGCCTCCTCGTTTTCCAACGCAAGGCGTGGAACAAGCCATACGAGAAACGCAGTTCCTGCAGAAAATCGGCGTGACCTCGAAATCACTGAAAGCTTTCGACCTCGACCATCCACTCTCTTGAACGTATACATGCGAATACAAGAAGTACCCAGAGGCAGAGGAGATGCGAATGGATACACAAATTAGGCCATACACCGTACAACGTGATAGAAAAATTGGTCTAAAGAGTTTAGACAGTACTTCCCTCGCTGTCGGAAACGTGACGACTGCATGCCTATTATGTTTTTTTTTCGCAGTGGATTTCAAAGAATTCGGTTTTGTAGTTCCTGAGTAAATCAATAAAATAAATTTACGCATTCATTAATTTTTTTGAGTCACCCTGTATATGCAAATCCAAAAAATATGAATGGAGTGATAGATCACAAGTACAGACTCATCATATTTTGTACATTTTAGATATGATTTATTCCACAAACTTTTGAGCTGACGTCATCAAGTTTTTGGAGGGGATAAGCAAATATTTTTTGACTAAAGATTTATGATGCTCTTTATAGCCTTAAAACATCTGCAACATTTCAAAGCATTCTGGTTAGCAGATTAAAAATTAAATTTCAAAATGTTGTTTTATAATTTTGATTTTTTTTCCAAAAATCTGGACGTTTCGGGTGAAAAGTTGATTCGGAGTTGTAAACTACATGTGTAGGACTACTAAGTACAAAATTTCACAACAATCGGTCCAGTACTTTCAGAGATTATCTGTCTAATAAAAATCCGGGACGGCAGACGGACAGACGGACAGACGGACAGACGGACAGACAGACGGAAATGGGAGACCTATTTCTTCATCTTCTAGGGGTCATGAAAGATCGAGAAAACGTAAAAGTAGAGAGTCGGCCGACGGACTCGATTACAATACTTCCTTTGCTTACGCTCGGGAAGTAAAAAGAGGTGCATGGACAACCAGGGAATGGGATACGCACGTGTTAGACAAAGATCGGTATATGTGACGAACAAACCGAATATCCATTTGATTTCCATTAGACTGATATGACGTCAGCTGCAATTCCTACCTACTGAGGGATTATGCAATGGAAACGCTAATTCACATCAGAATATAGTTTTATATTTTAATTTCGACACGATAAACTTAGCCTAATTCTTTTAAAAAACAGCATAAGTAACCACTACAATCACCGTAACAAGACCGGTAATCTTAGCGATATCCGTTCCATCATTTTTCATCTGCTCCTTGGATTTCTTAACAGCTGAAACAAGGATGTGTACTGTAACAAATAAAAGAAGGTAATCAACGGCGAAATATATAAATGGTGGAGTTGTTTAGACGTATGTTATTTTCTTATCTTATGATTGCACTCGAAAGTAGAAATACTAAATACAAATACATCAAAACAGCGTCAAGTATATTGAGATAAAAATGGGAAACTTTCGTCAGGTTTTTAAAGTACCTACGTAAATATTACTTACTCTTTTTTTTAATCTTCTTTTCTGCTTTCATTTTCACAGGAAATCTTTAATTTACTTTAGAAGGAAATTAATTATAACAAAAACTAGTTACACTGATCCTTTGCACAAGGTATCAAGTTGTTAAAGATACAAAAATCCTTCAATAAAACGAACGATATCTAAAATCTATTGTTTTATGATTTATCGTTTTGATAATATCTACGATTAAAAAATTTTGACGGAGAATCAGCAGGAAAACCTGCTAACTAATATTGTGAAACATATTAGATACAACACACGACAAATGTTATCGTTATCAATTGTCATACTTTAATTTTTACTTCCCGAGCGTAAGCAAAGGAAGTATTGTAATCGAGTCCGTCGGCCGACTCTCTACTTTTACCTTTTCTCGATCTTTCATGACTCCTAGAATACGAAGAAATAGGTCTCCCATTTCCGTCTGTCTGTCCGTCTGTCCGCCCGTCTGTCCGTCCGTCTGTCCGTCCGTCTGTCCGTCTGCCGTCCCGGATTTTTATTAGACAGATAATCTCTGAAAGTACTGGACCGATTGTTGTGAAATTTTGCACTTATATTAGGAATATCATGTAGATGGTAAAACGCTAACCAAAATTTGTCTAATCATCCCCACCACTAATGCGATGACGTCACTTCAAAATTGTACATAGTAAATGGGTCTTAAATTGTATAAAATAACATAGTCCTACACATGTAGTTTACGACTCCGAGTTCAGTTTTTACCCGAAACGTCCAGATTTTTGGAAAAAAAATCAAAATCATAAAACAACATTTTGCAATTTAAGTTTGAATCTGCTAACCCGAATGTTTTAAAATGTTGCAGATGTTTTAAGGCTCTAAAGAGCATCATAAATCTTTAGTCAAAATATATTTGGTTATTCCCTCCAAAAACTTGATGACGTCAGCTCAAAAGTTTGCCGAATAAATCCTATCTAAAATATACAAAATATGATGCGTCTGTACTTGTGATATATCACTCCATTCATATTTTTTGGATTTGCATATACAGGGTGACTCAAAAAAATTAATGAATGCGCAAAATTTATTTTACTGATTTACTCAGGAACTACAAAACCGAATGCTTTGAAGTCTTGAAGATGTTTTAAAATTATCATAAGCATGGTAAATTTTTGATCAAAATGTATTTGCTCATCCCCCCTAAAAAATTGATGACGTCACCCCAAAATTTTGCTGAATAAATCTCATCTAAAATGTACAAAATATGATGAGCCTGTACTTGTGATTTATCATTCTATTCAAATTTTTTCGATTTGCATATACAGGGTGACCGAAAAAAATTAATGAATGCGTCAATTTATTTTATTGATTTAATCAGGAATTACAGAACCGAATGCTTTGAAATCTTGGAGATGTTTTAAAGTTATCAAAAGCATGGTAAATTTTTTATCAAAATGTATTTGCTCATCCCCCCTAAAAAATTGATGACGTCACCCCAAAATTTTGCTGAATAAATCTCATCTAAAATGTACAAAATATGATGAGCCTGTACTTGTGATTTATCATTCTATTCAAATTTTTTCGATTTGCATATACAGAGTGACTCAAAAAATTAATGAATGCGTGAATTTATTTTATTGAGTTAATCAGGAACTACAAAACCGAATGATCTGAAACATAGGAGATGTATTAAAGTTATCATAAGCACGGTAACTTTTTTATCAAAATGTATTTGCTAATCCCCCCTCAAAAAATTTGATGACGTCAGCTCGAAAGTTTGCTGAATAAATCCTATCTCAAGCGTAAAAATATGATGAGTCTGTACTTGTGATTTATCACTTCATTCATATTTTTTAGATTTTCTTAAGAGGTGGCTCAAAAAAATTAATGAAGTCAATTTATTTTATTGATTAAATTAAAGGCAACACTTATTATTAGTATTACATTGGACCATCCCAATTTGGTAGACACAAAATTTTTTAAAGTAAAAACTCGGTTGAAACATAAGGGTAGCACGCTTATTTACATCGACTTTAACATTACAGACGTGTGCGCTGTCTAGGTTCCGCGAATGTGGAATAGACATGTTTATAATCAACCAATTGTGAATTCCACCGTCAAAAATTAAAATAAAACTCAATGTTTTATATAATAAGCGGAAGTCGAAGCAATAAAACCGAAGGTCGTTTTGTTTACAGTTTCTCTGTTTGACTCTCACGTGTGCTGTTACGCTTGTCATCTTAAATTAAGAATGTTTATACATAAACGATTTTCAGTTGCCTCTCATATTACTAGACAGCGGATTTCTGTCGGGCTACGTCACGATTATAGGTGGGGACGCGCTGGATCGCTGGGACTCAGTAGCGGGTGATAGATAATCACTGAATCTAATCGGTACTAATTCCATAAATATAATTAACGATTTATTAATCAAACGGCTAAGTAAATGAGAACGGGAATTAACAGCAGAGTGCAACGAAACAGCGTTATTCTAATCTCAAATAAACGAAGTGCAATCCGCAACCGCAATGAATTCGCATCCCGTATGAGCCGTACCGAGTTTGGCCTTGCCTAGCCCGACAGAAATCCGCTCTCTAGATATTACACATCGGCGCCGTATACGTGAGTAAATTGTCTCGTTATTTTATTGATTATAACAAATCAATATTCAAAACGACCCAATTCATTTTCCCGAAAATTTGGGAATACAATAATTTTATTCTTAGTATTACACTACATCTATCCCAACTGATATACGTGTCCTTGCAAAAATGTTGATGACGTCATCGCAATTTTTTTTTAAATTCCCACTACAAAAATGTAATGAGAAAAAAATACAATAGGCATGCAGTCGTCAAGTTTCCGACAGCGAGGGAAGTACTGTCTAAACTCTTTAGACCAATTTTTTTTAATTGCGGATAGATAAGTCACATATGAGTACATACAAATATTTAAAAAACTTATATGTATAAATGATTTTATACCTACATTAATGTTACATACAATAAAAAAAGTCATTTAACCGAATAAATTCGTTGTGTTTTGCGAACTGGTTTAAGCAATAACATTTGCGTACAATTTTTATAACAGTTTTAATTCTCGTGTGTAAGCGAAAAAAGTATTGTAATCGAGTCCATCTGCCTACTGGCTACTTTCATGTTTCATGACCCCTAGAATACAAAAAAAGTGATCTCTCGTTTCCGCCTGTTTACTACAAAGGGATAATCTCTGAAAGTACCAGACCGTTTGTTCACAAATTTTGTGTGTATGTTACGAATATCATGTGTGAAACTCGCTTGATATACACTTTGTAAAACTTTTACTTTAAGCGGCTTAAGCCAAAACACCCTTATAAGTCAAACTGGCTATTGTATAACTAAGTCAGTCCACATATACCTAGTAAAACTTTACAGCTCCATTATGGTAACAATGGAAACTAATAATTCTTGCGATTCGGGTATATTCTATATTATAAGGGTGGTTTAGCTTAAGTCACTTAAGTCATAAAAGTTTTACAAGGTATATGTCAAATGAGTTTTGTATAGATAGTAAAAGGGTAACCAAAATTTGCATAGTCACACCCACCAACAATCTGATGAAGTCCGCTCATTATATTGCATAATTTAATTCACCTAAATGTTATGAAATAATATATTTCTGCACTTGTGGTTTACGAGGATAGCTATATTTTGTTCATTATGATTATAATTTTTATTTTTAAAAATTTCTCATAGTAGTAGATAACACCTATCCAAATATATACCTGCGTCCTTACTAGAATGTTGATGACGTCATCACAAAACTTTGTTATGAAAAATTTTGAAAAGTTGGCGTCAAAACTGTTACTGCAAAGGTTTTTAAAAATGAACATTTATTAAATATAAATCTTAAAAAACATATTCATAATTGAAAGCTATTTTCGAAATGGTTCTTTCTCTTAAATGTTACCATTGTCAATAGACAATTTTTTCAAATCAGGGAACGGTGGGCCAAAAAGTATTTCAACTGAAGAACAAATATTGGCATACGAACCCAGTTTATCCCTAAGAAAAACGATGAGAATGTGGAATGCCGACAGTTCACACCAGATTCGCGAAGTGACCGTACATCCTATTAAAATAGGTCTTTGGGTTACTCGATTTTACGATGAAATCTAAATTAGTCGTGTGTGGTCCGCAAAATCATCTAATCTTAAAGTATTTCTAAAGATATTTGGAAACAGAGTTAATCAATTCATGAGTGTCTTTAGTCCCTGGTCAACCTTCATCTGGCTACTATTCAGCTTAATCTCCAGAAAAGTATCCGATTTACAGGGTGACGCATCCAAGTTTGGACACAGAGAATTAAGATTTGAGGTGAAATCTGAAAGCAATATTGCTCGATTGCTCGTTTAAGCTCGTCTCTGTTTGCATAGCTGGTACTGTTCGAATACAGAAAAAATCACAGGGATTTAGATCCGGCTAACGCGCAAACCAATAGGGCGATCCGAACTTTCCAATCCAACTTGCGGGAAAATGCTGGTTCAAATAAGCAACATTTCTGTGAACTGTAGGGCTGGAGATTCGGACCTGCATGTAAAAGACCTGTTGCAGATGCCGCACCCTTCGAATCCCAGCAAGTATTTGCTGAGCTAGCACATTGTCGTACTTCTGAGCATTCAATCCAGATTTGATGAAAAAAGGTCCAATGACATGGTACCCTAGCAGACCCATCGACAGTTGCATGCCATTGATTTAGATGTTCATGGACCACGTGAGGGTTCTGTAATGCCCAAATTCGATCGTTCTGACGATTAGCACTTCCCGTAAGACCAAATGAAAATTCGTCAGTACAACAAGTGTTCCTTAAAAAGTCTCCATTAGCATAGATTCTCTCAAGCATTCCTTTGTAAAATATCCATACGTGAGAAGCGGTCCTCAGGCCTCAATTTTTATCATAACGCTTTTTGAAAATCTTCTGTCTCATCAGTTTAAGATCCCTAGAGAACGTGCCTACCATGGTACAAGAAGACATGGTATGATGTTGAGCATATTGTGTGACGTCATGTGGATCTCATAACCGCCAACTTTAAATTCTGGCTTATTCTTATTATTACTATCAACGAACGATGCCAAATTTTGAACACATGTTATTAGCATCTGATTTTAACTTAGCACCTTTGAAAATAAGTTAACCCTTGGTTAAAAACTGAACCGAATATCAATCTCCGTTA